TACCTTCAATTAAATCATCGTTCCTTATTACATTTGCCAACATTTCAATAACCAAGCAAAACAGAACTGGAGAAAGAGGGCAACCTTGTCTAGTGCCTCGGCCTAGAGCTATTTGTTCTGTCATCCCGTCATTAACTATTACTACAGAGGTATTCTCTAAATATAATTGATCTATTATTCCCCTAAACTTCTTTCCAAAGAAGAATTGGTGCTTTTTAATTGTGGTGCTGGAGGAGACTCTTGAGAGTGCCCTGGACTACAAACAGAACAAATCTATCCACTTTGAAGGAAATCAACCCTGAGTGTTCACAGGATTCTGAAGCTGAGATTCCAAAATTTTGGCCATGTCATGAGAAGACTCCCTGGAAAAGACCCTGATGCTGGGAAAGTGTGAAGGCAAGAGGAGAAGGGGACGACAGAGGACAAGATGGTTGGACAGTGTCATCGAAGCTACCAACACAAACAGAACAAATCTATCCACTTTGAAGGAAATCAACCCTGAGTGTTCACAGGATTCTGAAGCTGAGATTCCAAAATTTTGGCCATGTCATGAGAAGACTCCCTGGAAAAGACCCTGATGCTGGGAAAGTGTGAAGGCAAGAGGAGAAGGGGACGACAGAGGACAAGATGGTTGGACAGTGTCATCGAAGCTACCAACATGAATTTGACCAAACTCCGGGAGGCAGTGGAAGACAGGAGGGCCTGGTGTGCTCTGGTCCGTGGGGTCACAAAGAGTTGGACATGACTTTACGACTAAACAACAACAATGTGAGGGTTCAAATGTGACCTTGCCTGGTTTCGACATATACGCTGGAGCCTCTTGTACAAAATCAAAACTAGGCTTTACAGGAATATGAAACATTAAATCATGGGTCTCTAACTCGACTTCAACTTTGTCTCTCATGACCAACAGGTCCCACAAGGGCATCCAAAAGTCTTTGGTAAACGGGTTGTAACTTCAGTCATTCCAGGATCCTTTGGTAAAGGGATTGCTGCCATCCACATCAAAGGTTTCAGTCCCTGGCTCTAATAACAGGATATTCTCCTCGTCTCTCCCGTCTGAATCAAAGGGGTCTTCTTCTCCTCGAAGGGGAGCCCACAGTCCATCAGGAACCCTCTCCTCTGGGCTTCCTCCAGCTGCCATAACTGTCTCTCTCTCTCCCTCTTCTCTCTCAATGCCTCCTTTTTGTCTCGAAGTCTCCGACGCCACTCCCGCGCCTCCGACTCCCCCCAATATGAAGGTCGTGGGGGAAGCTCTTTTCTTCTTCTATAATCCGCCTCCTCTCTAGGGACCCAGACCTTTTCCCATCTCCCGGTCCAGGGGTCCTCCACCCAAATCATCTCCCAACCACTGGGTATCACATCGGCCCCTCCTTTTCCCGCCTCCATGAGGGTCCTTCCCCTTTCCTCCCTTCCCGCCATTTCTCTCTCTGTCTGAGTGGCGACTGTCACTTTAGACAGCCCCCATTCTAGCTCACAGGTATTCACTCCCCGTTGTACACTTGCGATGGGTGGTGTAAGCAGGTCTGTCTGCGCCTCCTGTTCTTTCCTGAGGGAGGACGACACTCCGGCGAGAGCTTCTACCCTCTTGCCTCGCATCTCACAAACAACAACAAAGTAAACATTTATTTGGCTGCAACCAGATCGAACACATAATCCACTATTTATTGTTCTGCCCCCTCTATAAGGACCCCAAAGAAAGATTTATGTTATTTATTATCCAGTTGTTCCCTAATTGCAGACCCAAGGAATTAGTATTAAGATTGCTTATTGACAATCAGCCATTCATTACATATGTTGTAGCACTATTTGCGTTGAGAGCCAAGAAGCTGATGTCTGGTTTTCTCAAGGACCATAATGTCATTTAATCTAATAGTCCGTAGTTTAGTTGGAGATGCTCGAAGAACACATAGTTCTAAAATGCGTGTTTCTAATACCTGGATTATTTTTTAATATCATACACTGAATACTGTAAAGGCCATAAACAATAAAGTTTTGACTGACTGTTTTAATATTGTAAGCAGCCTTCGGTCCTCTTGAGCAGAAAGGCAGGGTATAAAAATTTTAAATAAACAAATAAACAAACACTGGCATTTCCTGATATGTTGAATCACAGACACAGAAACAATATCCTACATTCATAAACCAGAAGTTTTTATTTAAGGATTAAATTGCATTGCCACACCTTCCTGGGTGCTGCATCCTTTCCACTTGCCCAACTTAATCGCTGACCAGCAAGACAAATAACACATACAGCATGGTGAGCAAGTGACACATTTCGCTTGAGAAGGGCAGTTTTAAACCCACCTTCAGAGGATAGAAAGCGAATTTATTTTTTTCTGAAGGCCGGGAAAGAAAGGGGATAGAAAGACTGGGTGGAATGGATTTCTCGACTCATCGCGCCCTGGGGATAAGAATAACTCCCCAAAACCAGCACTGCTGTTCGCATTTAACGAAGTGTCTTGTTCCCTTAAAAATCTGACAAACATTTTAAATCACTTTTTTTTTCCAAAACTGAGAGAAGCCCAGCCCTGCTCCCTTCTGGGAGACAGACAACCTCCTTCAGCACCGACTGCTCCGGAAGAAGACGGAGGTAATCCTAGGGAGCAAGAAAGCGGCAAAAGCCGCTACGAAACGCCAGTCCGCCCGAGACTGATTCTGCAGAAAGGCCTTTCGGGGCGCCCCCTTCACCACACGCCCCTTCTCCTTCCATCCAATGAGAGTTGAAGGGGGCGAGGCTTAACGACGGGTTTCTCCCCCCCCCAATAGTTCGCCGGTTCCTATATAAGGCACGGGAGACGAGCGGGCAGTTCTTTTACTCCGCCGCTGGATAAAGAGGTGAGTGGTTTAGGGGGAAGGAAGCGCTTCAACGAAGGGAAGCGGCCATTTTGTCGGGAGGTTTTCCCCTCTTTTCTCTCGTCCCGCCTGCGCCTGCCTTGATCCGTGTTATGTTTAAACCCCCTTTTATTCTCTTTGCGGGCAACCGCGAACGAGGGGAATCTGATCTGAGACGGAGACGACGACGACGACGTCGTCTTGTGGGGGGGGGGGGGGGGG